CTCAATTGGGATTGGTCAGTTGTTGTCTACTATAAAATAACCTTTCGGAATACTTTGGAACATTGCTCTAATTTTTCTTTCAGAATTTACATTATTTTATTTTCTATTCAGAATCTTTTGAAATATATATAAAGGGTCATCCATAAATAACATTATGTACAGGGGTGTGGCGACATAGAGTAGTGGTTAAGTTGTCACCCCCTAAGAGGCAGGTCTAGAGTTCGATTCCCACCAGAGACGTTTTTCGAAAAATAGGCCTATGTTCTAGTAATATTTATTTGACAATCGGTTGGGTATATCACCTGTAATCTTGGTACTACTATCTCATTATGAAAGCTTTAGGGCGATCCAAATCCAAGGAACCAGAATATTTGAAACCCTTTTGGCAAGACCCGAGCTAGGAGTAGTAAAGATCTTCGATGATACTACGGAAAATCGGAACCGGAGACTGAAGAACCGGACAAACAACCCTGGGGCAAAAAGGGTCCACCAACCTGACCGCCAAAGTCGCACCAGAGGAAAAGGTCTGATGCTATGGAATTCAGAACCAAGAGAAGTAAAACCAAAAGCCACTTAGAGCCTAGGTACAACAACCCTTCCAGGCTAACTGGTTTGGTAGTTGGGAGGGATAGTATAAGGACCGGTTGAAAGTAAATATCGGGATCAGAACGAACCTTGTAGAGGCAAGGAGTAAATAATGGTAGCGGCTACAAAAGCCACAAGTACTAGTCTTCGGATTGGGTGTAAGTTACTGAAAAACCCAGGTGATACATGTATGGGACATGGACTGCTCTGGTAAGTTTACCACGAGAATAAAGTAGTTCTAAGGGGCCTTAGCGGCAAGAATTCTTCTAGAGAAAGCATCTGACAATGCTAAGTCAATCAGAGAGTTTAAATAGGGGATCTACAAGCAGATCCTAGGTATGGCAATTGGTGGGTAACTATAAATAGTATAGCGGAGCCCTTAATTAGACAATGACTAAAGTTATACGTGTGACCAATTGTAATCTCATTGATATAACAAAGTCAAGGGGTATCTATTCGGTATCCTGATAATTGAACTGAGAAGTTAATAAACCGTGCCAGACCTCCAAGTAGTCACCTTAATATTTAAAAAAAAAAATAATAATAATGTTATGTACTTCCACATAGTAGCTTTTGACCCCCTTAAACTATATAAAAAAAATTTAAAAATCTATATGTTTATATATAAATTTTTACAAAACCTTAATTATCTTATGACTCAGTAATTCAAATTAGATAAATTTGATACCATTAGATTCATCCCAATAAGAGGAATCTAATGGTACCAAAATTATTCAATTTGGATCACTGGATCAAAAGATATAGGCAAAAAACTGTTAATTCTATAGTAATTTCATATAAAATAATATAGCCAATAGTTTTTTGCAAATATTTTTGATTCAGTAATCCAAATTGAATAATTTTGATACCATTGGATTCCTCTCATAGAGACGAATTCAATAGTATCAAATTCATCCAATTTGGACTACTAGGTCATGAGATATTAATATTTTTATAAAAAAATTAGGTTATTTTTCTTCAACCTCTCTAACTTAGCAAAAAACATAAAAAATATGTTATTTTTGTAAAACCCCTTCTTTCTCTTATATAATGTTATTTATGGATGCCCCTAAATAGCATATCTATAGACAATCTGAACAGACATACCTATGGCATGCCATCATAGATATATCACCCTGGCATGCTAATGATCTTTGTACTATTCACTCTAGTTACGAGATAATCAAGGTTTTGTAAAAATTTATATATAAATATACAGATTTTAAATTTTTTTTTATATAGTATAGGGGGTTAAACATTTCTATACAAGGGTACATAATGTTATTTATAGATGCTCCTGCACCAGTATCATATCTTTCAAATTGGAAATTATTTAGAAAATAACTTCTAAATAAAAAATTAAATATTCAAGTTCAGTGTTTAGTCAAGTTTAGTAAATATTTTTATAAACCATTAATACAATTCATGATCAGAAAAGATCCAATACCTTGTATCAAATTAGATGATAATTTGACCCAACTTTTACCTGGTCTGCGTGCTTATGAAAATCTTGATAAAGTTAATGAATAAATTAGTTTTTGGTATGATTTTAAAGAAAATTTTGATATATTTTTTTGTAGATAAACTAATAACAGCATTAGAAATCCTAAATGATGATAACTTTAGTAAGCTTTTTAATAGTTTAGAATGAGATATTAATAAAACATATGAATATTTTTTAAAATGGATATCATCTTGGATATATTTACTACTATCAATTTGCCATTTGGGTGGAAATTCTGACCATAAGTTTGTATGAGCATTTTATTATGTCATTTTAGAACCACAGTGGCCTTCAGAACCAACAGAGTATAAAATAAAATTAGTACAACAATTATGTGAAGATTTTGAGACCACTGATAATACTTTTAACCTTCAAGAAAAATTGTTAAATTGTCCAGAATTTAGTAATGAGTTTTGAGAATTCTGTTTCACTCCAAACTCTAAAATTTATGAATATCCATTATTAGATAAATTTGTTAAAGAGCGAATTTACTCTATTATAATTCATCAACAACAAGTTGAGAGGCTTTTTAATAAATTAGATTTGAAGACTCACCCCAATATGACACTTGACTTGAAACAATCAAAATTACAACATCCGGAAATATAGATGAAAATCATATTGCTCTAGAACTCTCAGATGTTCATATTAAATGCAAAAATCAATCACAAAAGAATCATATAGAAAGTATAAAATTTACGGAGAAGAAGAAGCAACTAAAATGTTTTTAGACATATTTCAAAATTAGTGTTAGAAAAAAAAAAATTCGATGTATTTTTTTTAGTTATCGATAATATGTAATAAAATCTAAATTACATAGATCAGTTACGTATAAAAAAAAATTTTGTACAGTATTTGATTTACATAATGCATCGAACACCCCAACGGCACATCTACTTATACGGTAAATGTGCCGTATTGCCGTGATATTTTTGTTGCGGTAGCTACCCTCGAGATTCTAAATGTCTGCATCACTAGTGTCGCGGAACATTAGAACTTATTGTTCGAACAAATCTATACTACTGCATAAGGCAGAACAATCTATATTTTTATATCGTCGATTTAGTCATTTCGGCTCTAATGCCGATGCAAAAACAGATCAACCCAGTCATTCTTATTTTCCTTTTGTAAATATTTTCAGCAGAACACTAGAAAAGGACGAAAATTTACGTCTAATTTTTGATAATATTAATGTATGGAATGAATTTACCAATCGTTCACGGACTTTTACTAAGTTAGAATTTAACGCGCAACTTTCAACAAGAAACTTTGGCTTATTCAGAAATCCCGAATTAACTTCACCAAAAGGTTTTCAGAAAGAAGCTGAAAAGGCAGTAAGGAGGGTAAAATTGCTGATTAATAGAATTGTCAATGCTAATACCGATGAGGAACTGAAGAAGGTGGTCAAGAATTTGGATAGATTGTCTGATGTACTTTGTTCAGTAATTGACACAGCTGAGTTCGTGCGAACAGTTCATCCTGATCAAAAGTTTTCTCAGGAAGCCAATCGAATTTATGAATATTTATGCTCATTTATGAATTCATTGAATACCAATAGGGAATTATATCAGGTATATGCAAAAGGAAAAAATTTAATATACTGGATATGCACATGTGAATTTTCAACATAAATTATTTTCAATTTCCATTTATTTTATTTTATTTTATTTTATTTTCATTTTTATTTTTATTTTTTCATCGCATTATATCAAAAAAAAACTTTATTTAGCATTAAGGCCAACATTATTCGTTACTTATATCTCAGGTATTGAAACGAGTAATGTCAACGCCCAGCATTTATTCACAATTCTCTTCAGAAGAACGTCAAGTAGCTCATATTTTTTTGAGAGATTTTGAAAAATCTGGGATACATCTTCCTTCATCAGATCGAGTTAAATTTGTGCAATTATCAGATAAGATTATTGCACTCGGTCGTAAGTTCACACACAGTCAACTATCGAAATCAACAAAAATAATCGAAGTAGAGGCTTCACGTCTTGATGGATTGTACACCGGATGTTCCACAAAGAATGGCGATACTGCTAGGTTATCCACTAAGCCTTGGGAGGCCCAAATGATTTTGAAACTTATAAAAGACGAAAATATTAGAAAGGAAATGTTCATTGCTTCGAATTCAGCCACAAAAGAACAAACTGATTTATTAGAAAATTTGTTGCGTACAAGAGGAGAGTTAGCAAGATTGCTAGGGATGGATAGTTATAGTCACATCTTTCTTATAGACAAGATGGTAAAAAATCCTGGTATGAGATTTTTCAAAATTATATTTGCTATTGTCAAATTTGCTATTCACAATGCTTCGTTTATTTTGCAGATAATGTACAAACATTTTTAAGAACGCTTGCTGATCATCATAGACCAAAGGCTCTTGCTGACCTTTACCTCCTGAAAAAAAGCCAAACGACAAGAAATTAAGTGCAAAGAATTACCAACTGTTAATGCTTGGGATCGGGACTATTATACTGAAAAAGTAAAAGCATCTTTAACGCAGCCTATGACCCCCATATCTCCTTATTTTTCTGTTGGTTCTGTGATTCAAGGCTTATCAAGACTGTTCTCCAAACTATACGGTATTTCATTTGAACCTTCTGAAATATTACCTGGAGAAACATGGCATGATGATGTTCGTAAGCTTAATGTAATTGATGAACAAGAAGGAATGATTGGAACAATTTATTGTGATCTTTTTAATCGACATGGCAAATATTTAAACGCGGCTCATTATACAGTAAGATGTTCTAGACGTGTTGATGATGACGACAGCATTGGAGACATTCCTCCTGACATGGATGTTTCGGAAATAGGAGAATTGGCAACACCAGAACAAGGGGTAAGGCTTCATGGTAGGAACGGAAGATATCAATTACCTATCATTGTGCTTACATGTGACTTTGCAAAACAAAAAGGAGATGGTAAACCTTGTCTGTTAAGCTTAGTCGAAGCTGAGACTCTCTTCCATGAAATGGGGCATGCTATGCATTGTAGGTAGTTAATGTTAGTATGTTCAATTTTATAAAAATTCCAGAATTAAATATTTATTTTATTATTAGCAATGATCGGACGTACAGATTTTCACAATGTCTCTGGTAAATATATGTGTACTTATTGTTCGTTTCGTTTAAGTTATTTCAATGTTGTTATTTTGCTTAACTCTATATTACACTTCCTAATTTTATATTATTTTTAAAAGGCACTAGATGCCCAACAGATTTTGTGGAATTACCTTCAATACTTATGGAGCATTTTGTTTATTCACCTACTGTACTAGCACTTTTTGCAAAACATTATGATACCCGAAAGCCCATACCAATAGACCTTATTAATTCACATCTTAAAGCACGCACCCAATTTTCAGCTATGGAGACGCAATATCAAATCCTAATGGCATTATTAGACCAAATTTATCATTCCACATTGGCTATGTCTCCTGACTTTGATACTACTGCTATTTTAGCTAACCTTCAGGATAGCGTTGGACTATTTCCTTCAGTTCCCGGAACTGCATGGCAAATTCAATTTGGGCATTTATTTGGTTATGGAGCAGGGTATTATAGCTACCTTTTTTGTCGAATACTAGCTGGAAAATTATGGAAACAAGTATTTGAAAAAGATCCGTTAGACAGAGAAGCAGGACAAAGGTTCCGAGATGAGGTGCTACGATGGGGTGGATCTCGGGATCCATGGTTGTGTGTTGGTAAAGCTTTACAAGATGAAAAGATCGCAGTTGGTGATAGTAAATCAGTTTCTTTGGTTGGAGAGTGGGTAGATTGTTTATAAAAGATTATTGTTTAGAATGCAGCGAGAGATTTCTATTTATGGGAACGTGTCCAATCATATGTTTTTGACTATTTGATAAAAATTAGGGGGTTAATTGGGGGTATGTCTCATATAGTAAAATTGCTCTCCGGACATTTTTTATTAATGCTCCTTGTATTTTTTGCGGTTTTCATTTTTTTTTGTGTTTTTGTCTCTTCGGGTTGATCCGTGTCGATCAAGACAAGCAACTTTATTGGCCTGTGTCACGTGATTGGATACGATCCTATTTATGGGTATACGGCAGGGACGCTGATTTTTTTTTTTTGGATTTAAGGTGAATTTTTTTTTTGGATAACGTAAAAATTTTGGAAATTTTTGGGGGTCGGCTAAAGCGGAGTTAATTCAATATATGATCTACATGCTGCATAAATTACATTCTTGGATTTGGCCGGCATTAAAAAATTAAATTTAATAATTCGGGCCAGATCACATGAAATCACATGATTTTGAATTATTGCCCAAAATTTCGTCATCCGAAATTTGAATTTTATAAACACAACCAATCAGATTAGTAGGAATTAACAGACAACGTGATCTGTAACCAATCAAACCGCTAAAATCGTGCATAAAAATTTCTAAAATTCCATAATTTCGGCGTCCCTGGTATACGGTAGAACAGGGGGAAACGTCAAAAGTTACACAAACCAACATGTGATCGACAGTCCGCATATTTAATGTCGATCAAATAATTTATACGTAATATAGTAAATACGATCATAATTAAATAATACATGCTAATAAAATACGATCATAATTAAATAATAATATAATTCGCAATTCAAAAATTATTTATTTATTTATTTATTACAAATTCACGAATGTTAATT